CTTTAGAGGAGAAACTGAACATACTAAATGTTCCTAAGATTTTCTCTTATTATTTTTTAAGGATATTATTAATTATAGATAAATAAACTAAAATACGTTTAAGTTAAAGATGGGTTGTCAGTCTTTATTTTTATCTCACGTTTTCTACCTGTTGAAAGAAACTAATGACAATTAAGACTCTTTATTAAATAAAACTTGAAAATTTTACTTTATTATTAAAGAAATGGAAAGTAGTTTTAAAAGGTTATTTGATGAATTAGGAAGAATAGTCTCTTCACAATTTGAAATTAGTAATAATGCCGAAGAATCAATTAAAATATTACTTGACTTTGTTGCTAAAACTGAGGTTGTAGAAAGGTTATTTCATTATATAGAAATACATCGAGTTATAAATGATATATTATATCCAATGGTTATAACATTAAGTTCTAAACAAAATCAACATGAAAAAAGTGAATTACTTAAAAAGGTTTTAAAAATTATTTATGCTTACGTCAAGTCAATAAACAAAATTGATTTTACTAATGGGGTGTTAAGTTATAATAATAAACCTCTTTTCCCACAACAAGTATTTTCAATGTTTAGTATTATTATATCAACTGAGATTGGTTCAATTTCTATAATACCAAGAAATAGTGAAATTGTATTTAACATAATTGAACATATAACATTACACACAACACCATCAGTACTAAGTAATATAATACAAACAAATATCTTAAATATTGTTTCAATTATTCTTTCATCTGATAAGTTAAAAAATGAGTTAAGAGAAAGTGCATTATCATTATTAATTTCATGTTGTTATTTATCTTTTGATTCATTTGTTGAACCAATAGGAATAAATAAAAGTCATTCTTCATCAAAACTTGCTCTTCTTCTTGACCAAGAGAAAAAAAGAAAACATGAACTTGATACTAAACTTAATAAGAGAAGTGTAAGGTTTCAAGTAAACTCTTGTAAACTTGGATCTTCTCAACCATTACTTCCAGTACCAAATTCACAAATAGCAATAGGAGAAAAAGTATATAATTCAAAAACATTAAAAGGAGTTACAAGTTCACTAAATTATGAAGTTTCTAAAATACTTCTTTCTATTATCGAAAAGAATTCAAAAAAGATAACAAGTATTCTTTTCAAAACAAACGACTCAAATTTAAAAGAACGAAGTTTTATTATTGTTGGAATTATATTAAAATTAGATAAAGAATTAAAACAAATTCAATATTATGATGTTCAATATGCTAATAGTATTCTTGACTCTATTTCTTTTTGGTATGGTAATAATGATTGTCGTTGTTTAGATTATTTAACTGTTAGAATTTGTTTATGGGTTCTTTATCAACTTTTATGCAAAATAAAAACAATAATTGAAATGGAAATGATTCGGATTAATGAAACACCAACAATTAATGGAAAAATGTTATATGAAGATATTTTAAATTGTGGAATTTTTGATACGTATCAAAATGTTATTCAAAACTTTATTCCTGATAAAACACCAAATGATATTTTAACAAAAACATTCTATGGAATTAAAAAATGTTTTGAACTTAATACATTATGTGGAATTGAAGAAACTAGAAACTCAGATTTTTTACAATCTTTATGTTTCGAAAAATGTTGTAATACTATGACTTATTTCTTTTCTTGTTTGATGGTTGATGAATTTACTGATATTAATTGTGTTGAAATTACTCGTCTTATATTTGAAAAAATGAGAGAAGAAAATGAAGTTCCTTGTTTTTATAGAATTGAAACACTTGAACTTTTTTTGCGTGTATTAAATCAGAAAACAAAATATGAACCTAATGATGAAGTTACAAAATTATTACGTTTCATTGATTCAGTAATCAAAAAATTCAATGATGATATTATTATTAATAATATAATTCTTATAAATTTACTCTTCCCTTCTTACACCAGCTTACATTCTCATCTCCCCTTCAGAAAATATTCAACAAAAAAGTTTTTCAAAGAAACTTCTAATCCTCAATCACCAATTAATGACAATAAAACTCAAGTAGATGAAAATCCTCAACATGAAACAAAACTTCATAAATCAAACGAGATAAATGAAAATAAACCAATAAGAAGAAGAAAATTAGTTGAAGTGGTTGACGATGATGAAGATCTTGATGATATCTTTGGTGGTAATGAAAAAGAAGAAGAAGAGGTAATTGATCTTGATACTCCAATATTTAAAAACTCAACTACAAAAGACCCAATAATTACAGAAGAAAAAGAAGAGTATCAAGCAAAACGAAAACTTGATAATTGATTGTTTGGATAAACAATAATTCAATGAGTTTTAAAAATGACATTTAAATGAATAACTTTATTTTATTATGAAGAAGAATTCATCTTCCGTGTTTTTCTTCTAAAACGACTTGGTTCTAGTAGTTCTGTATTTTCATCTTTTAAACTCTCATCATCTTCTTGTTCTTCTTGTGTGGTATATTTTCTTTTAACAGGATAATCATCTCCATCATCTGTGTCAAAGTATTCTTCGAAGTCATCCTCTTTTTCTTCAATTTTTGTTTGTTTCCGTTTTCTTGTTGGCATAGTAATTTTTTTTGCTCTTCTTCTTCTTGGACGAATAAATGTATCTGGACTATCTTCTTCTTCACTATCTTCTTCTTCTTGTAATTGTTCTTCCAAACGTTGTTCAAATTCTTGTTCTTCTTCATAAATTTGAGACTCTTCTTCATTCATTTGTTTAGATGTATTTTTTGTTTTTCTTCTTTTTGGACGTGGTTTTGGTTCAATTTCTTCCTCCTCATTGTCTTCTTTTAGAGAAAGTTCATAGTCTGTTGCAATAAAATTATGTCTGAGATTTCGTTTTGGCATAACTTGAATTTCCTCACTTTCTTGTGAAGGCTCTTTCACTTCTTTGACTTCTTGTTGTCTTGTTTCTGTATTACCCTTTCTTGTTTTCCTTTGTTTGGTTGAAGAATTTGGAATTGTTATCTCTTTAAAACTCTCTAATTGAGTGTTTAAATCAACCAATAAATCAGTATTAACAACAGTCCTACATGTTTCTAATGTTGGTTTTAATTCTTCAGCTATTTCAATTGCACATTCTCCAATAGGGGAATTTGGTCCATTATAAGTCACTGCATTTCTAATTAATTTGAATATTTCCCATTCAACTTGGTCATAAGTACGATAATAATTATCATTTATAAGACGTTGCAATATTAAATTAAAGTCAATAGGAAATGGACATGCGGGAATATAATTTGGATACATCCTAATATCAACTGGTGTCTTAAATATTTGATAATCTTCATTATCAACAATTTCTCTTAATTTATTAATAAGAATTTCTCTTACTTCATCTGCAAAATCATCAGATCGATGTTCCATATAATCACTATCAATTTCATTAATACTAACATCAATATTTCCATTTGATGAAACTAATTTAATTCCTTTATACTTCATAAATATTGAATTGTCAAAATCAACTCGATAAGATGAACCTCCATAATTGACTCTTTTGTGAGACTGCTCCTCAATATATTGAACGTTGTAATCAATAAATTCTTTTAAAAATATAAATTGATTTCTTGATTGAGTAAAAACAATATTATTGATGATAACATCTTCTTTTTCTACTTTTAAATCAACAGAAACAAATACCTCGTTCTGAATATCATCATAATAAATTTTCATAAAAGTAATTTGACAACTAATCCATCCTTCTGTCCCAATATAATGTAGATTATCTGTTCCTGTTATATTTGTTGAAATATCTTTTAGATATTCTTCATGAAATCTAGGAACATAATAAACATGATCTCCAACGTTTGGAAAATATACTTTTCTTTTCTTTGGACAGGTCATATCATACTCTCCAACAACCTTATTAATCCAATGAGGATATGATGTATATATTTCTTTTAATAACTCAGTGTATGTTTCTTCTATAACAACAGAATTAATTGATTGTCGTTGTCCACGCTTTGTAGGTTTTTTTTCTTTTTCTTCTGCTTGACTACTCTCTAATTCTTCAAATAATTCTTCCTCTTCTTCATCTAAAGAAGATGACTCTAAAGAAGACGATTCATTAACTTCAAGAGAACCATCATCAACAATTGGTACCGTTGGAACTTCTTCTGTTCCATTGTCTGGAATAACAATACCCATTCTACTTGCTGCATTTCGAGTTAAATGTTGTTGGGTAATATCTATATCTTCATCAACATCAAATACAGCATCATCTGCTTCTCCAGGAGTGTCTTCAAGCATTGTGTTTTGTTCATTTGGTTCGATAGTAATAGAAACACGTGGTATGATTGCCTCTTCAGGATTATCTCTAAAACTATATGTTTCTGGAGTAAATCTATTTTCTGTACATTGAAGTAATAATTTATTGTTTGTATTCAATATTTGTTGAATAGAAGAATAAGGAATAAAAGTAAAATCACACACACTACCACGAGGTACTAAATGAGGTGCAACCTTAAATTTTTCATCAATACAATTACCAGCACCATCATATAATAATTTGTTGTAATCACTTTGAAAAAATTGTTGTGGTGGTGTCCATCGAAAAGAAGACTTTCCTTCTGAACCAATTCCAAATAATGAAAATGTTCCTAAATCATCTGCAACACTAAGATAACTACCATCAGGTGAAAATCTTAAGTCTGTTAATAACAAACTTCTCAAATCTTTATCATGATAATCATCTCTTGTAAAGAAAAGAATTGGATGAAGTCCATTAATTAAATCCCAAATAATTGTTTGTCCATCTTCAGCACAAGTAGCAAAAATATTTGTTCTTTTTGGATGTAATTCAATGCACTTAATTTTGTTAGTATGTTTTCCTTTACACTCGGAAAAGAAACTGAATTTATCATCATTTTTATAAACTCTAATTGTCCCTTCTGAGAATCCAATAATAATATATTTAAGGTCATTAGTAATTTTGGAAGTTTCAATTCGTTCTTTAATTTCTCCACCATTAAATTCAAGAACATAACAATTACTTGTCATATTCTTTTGTTGTTTGAGGTATAAAATTTTGACATTCTCTGTAAAGTCACAAATTACTAATTTCTGAGACGACCCACAAATAAATAAGTCTTTGTCTCTTACTTTATTTACAAAAGTCATACTATCTTTAGATTTATAAAGTGCATTTACTCTTTCTGGGACAGGGTCTTTAAATGAAAATAAAATAATGTCTCCACAAGTTGAAGTAAACATATCTCCTGAAGTGTTGAAACACCCATAGTCGAATGTTTTTTTGGTTTCCCAAAAACAATCTATAGATGCTAAAAACTCAAGAGTTGGTGTAAACACATGCCCTAAATTATCTTTTTCCATTACGATAAATCCATAAGTCTTAGGAAAGAAAGTTACCATTGTTGTTTTTTTATGAGAAACAAAGAAACTTTTTTCAATCTTTTTATTCTCTAAGTCCCATATAATACACCTTCCATCAGCTCCACAACTTGCTAAATACTTGTGGTCAAAAGAAATATCAATATCTTCTACTCCTTTTGAATGTCCTCTTAATGTTGCAATTAAATGACCATCAATAAGATTCCATAATTTGATTAATCCATCTTCTGACGCAGTAATCATCATTTCTCTATCCATGTCAAATAGTTGTTGAGTAATTTTTTTTGTGTGTCCAATCATATTAATTAACTATATTGTTAACGCTTCTTTCTTTAATCAATTATTCTACAAACCTCATAAAAGTCCAATGTTTGAAATGAAAGTACTTCTGTTTCCTTAAATTCTTGTCCAATTTGTCTTGATATAAGTGAGTTCAAATAATGCTGAGTATTAGAAATAGGTTTTGGTTCGACACTTAATAACATATCTGAAAATTCACCACATAAAGAGACTAATTGTTTGTCAGAGATATCTGGGTAAATATTTCTCTAGACATGTTAACTCAATTTTTGTTATCCAAAAGCGCACATTTAACTAAATCAAATTACTAAAGAAAGAAAACAAACAAATGTGTCATACCCTTTTAATGTTGTTGTAAGAGTAGATGTTTGAGGTAGTGCATTTTGTAAAGATTGTTTTAGTTGTTCAAAAAGGTCTGGAGAGAGGTGTGGTTCCAAATATCGGAGTATGAGAAAATTTAATACTACTTCATTAGAAATGCCACATCATTCACAAAAAAAAACAAACCCCGTTCTTTTTTGCTCATGACGATTTATAAAAACAAAAAAATGAGATCTTTTAAACTCTCTGGTTTAAAGTTTTTGTGGTTTTTGTTTTTTTTTTTCTTTTATTAAAACCCAAAATTTTACTTTGATAGAAATAACAAAAATTTCCATTAGTAAAATTGT